TTCACAGGGTTCCCGTGCACCTGGCCAGGAGCCGACAGGGGGAACAAACGGGGCGTGAAATGGGGAACCGGGGGTCAGGTGGAGGTTCTGGGCTGAGGAGGAAATGAAATCAGCGTCGGATCGAGGTGAGTTATGGGGGGCGGGCTGTTGTTTCCTGTGTGTGACCTCACCAGTAAAAAAACACACGTCGTTTCTCACCCGGTGCTAAATAACCCGCCCAGGAAGCAGCCGGCCCTAAATCCACCAACCCGACCCGACCCGAATCCTGCTGCCACTCCAGGGAAAACTCACTTATCATTGTTAACCTCCTGAGAGTAAAAAGCTTCTGTCTGTTTCTGCTCTGGTCCAGATCTCTGATCAGTTTCAGAACTAGACTTTGTCCTGGTTCAGGGAGTTTTTCTTCACAGAGGCTCAGTGGGTTTATCTTTAGATTTACAATGTCTGTTTACAGATTTAATTACTTGTTTTTGCTGTTTGTTTCTGAGGGTCCAAATGACTTATTTACAACATTTTAATTCCACAATCAGAACATGAGTGGTGTGAAATGTCTAAAAGCATTTTCCTTTAGATTTAAACAGGGACAAAGCAGGAAAAGCTGAGATTTCTGAGCTCTTTGAACACAACAATAATTTTCCTTCAACTAAAGACCTAAAAACATTATTTTTCAATGATTTCCTTCATCTAAAGACCTAAAAATCAGACATTTCAATGATTTCCTTCATTTAAAGACCTAAAAATCAGACTTTTCAGTGATTTTCCTTCATCTAAAGACCTAAAAAATTGATTTTCCATTGATTTTCCTTCATCTAAAGACCTAATAAGTTGATTTTCAATTATTTTCCTTCATGTAAAGACCTAAAAATCAGATATTTCAATGATTTCCTTCATCTAAAGACCTAAAAAGCTGATTTCAATGATTTTCCTTCATCTAAAGACCTAAAAAGCTGATTTTCAATTATTTTCCTTCATCTAAAGACCTAAAAATCAGACTTTTCAGTGATTTTTCTTCATCTAAAGACCTAAAAAGTTAATTTTTCAATGATTATCAGTTAGCGGCTCAGTTAGCGTGTCCACATCTCTCCTGTCTCCAGCAGCTTTACAGAGCAACCGTCCAGCATCACGGCCCAGAAACAGATACAAGAAGTCTGCCTCCTCCAGAAAAAACTCCTCAGACATTTAGACGAGGAGAAAAAAGCCAGAACCTGTAGCTGTGAGCTGCTGCCACCAGGGCGGCGCCATTCTGGGCTGGAGACGATGTGTGTGTGTGTGTGTGTGCGTGTGTGTGTGTGTGTGTGTGTGTGT